AAGAAAGAACATCATAGAATCTATATTTGTAGAATAAGAAGATACTAAAATTAAAATTTCTAATTAAAAAAAACTAAAAAGATTTGCACCAAGATTAAAACATAAATAGAGTACTAGAAGATTATGTAGTAGCTAACAAGAAATCCATATAGAAACTTCTAAATGACTACAATCTATACAAGACATATGTCTAACATAAATTACACTTTTACAATGATTTTTTAAGGAAGAAATGTTGTAATGGAAAGTCATGGAAGCTATATAAAGCACCTATAGATCTAATTTACATGTGAATGTTTTTTGATGTTTAATAAAATATGTTGTTTACTTGATATAATTTACTTACTTGTATGCATCTTTATTTAATTTGATGTACTAAAGAATTATAATTATTCATAAAGAATTAATTTAATATTTTTTATAAAATATTAATAGAATTTTTTTGGTACACTAAATTTTTGTCAAAACCAACATAACTTACAAAGTGAATTTTAGAATTTTAAATATAGTATATTTTAATCTATTTTAAATAAAAACTAATAGTTTTTTGATAAATATCAAATATATATATATATATATATATATTAAACTTAACTAAAAGTCTTTACTAACGTCTTTATAAATCTATTCGCTTACATATAATTATAATATATATTTATCTATATATTTTACTACTGTAGATACAATCTAACATCTTAATCATTCTTCATACCTCATTAATGATTTACAAATTATATTCATTATAATAAATCATATTTTATTTTTTCTTTTTTATAAAATAATTATATATTGAATAGTACAATAAAAAAAATCTTATATATTTATTAAACTTTCAATACTGTTAGTTGAAATAATGTTTTCAACCAAATTAATATTAGAATTGAAAATTCATCATAAAAAGTTTATCAATTAAATCTAAATTTAGTATTTTATATTAAAATATTAATTATTATTATTATATAGTATAATAACTTATGCTTTATTTACTCTATAAAATCATATTATTTATAGTTTTTACAAGTACTAAATCTACTTGCATTTAAAAAAATATGCATATTAAAAGTAGATGACACTTTTCTAAATTATATATAGATAGTGTAAACCAAATTTATTTTTATAAATAATACGTCTGTGTATATATATACATATTGTAAAATTTGTAAAACCAATCAAATTTTCTTACTATGGTTATACAAGAGATATAAAAATTTAAATTTAGCCCAAACAAAAAGTATATGTGCAACAAAGACCATATTTGTTAATGTAAAAATAATTGATGTCAATGGAGACTAAGAAGGTAGCCATGTTAACTTAGTAACAAAAAAAAATAAACACATAAGATCTATTTTTGGAAATAATTGCACCCAATAACCACATTGTTCCTAAAAATGAAATATTTATCTCAACAAACAAGCGTTTAGAACAAACATTATATTTTAAAAAAAAATTAAAAATTTACTAAAATAAAATGTTAGCATGCAATGTTTATTGCAAAATCCTTGTGTCTTTACTCATTTCCTACAGCTTGATAATTCTATCATTGTACTAAAATGTGGCACATTTCAAATTACTTCATCCAACAATTAGAGATCCCTAAAAGTTTATTTTTCTAAAAGGTAGTGATTGATGTGTCATCTTCGTAAAAGATTGAAGATGATGATAATAATAACAATAGTAACAATAAAGAAATCATCAACATCTACACAACATCCACAACAACTCATGTTTGATCTTTTCCACCTTTTATTTTTCTCTCACTTTCTTTTTTCAGATACAATCTTGTGAAAACTGAAACCACTCCATATCATTTTGAGTGCTCCCAAAAAGCATGTTGGATCTTCCCTGTCTCTAATCATTGAAGGATACCAACAAAGAAACAAATCAACCATCCATTCATCCATCATTCCATAAACCCTAAAATTATTGGAGGGCAATGGACCACTATCATCATGCACTCAAAGCTTCGGTATCAGCCAACCAAGCAAAGCAAAGCAACAACTGTGAGCAGCAGAGGAAGTAGGACTAGGAGGTGGAGGAAGAGAGAATGGAAGCAGTAGAACAAAAAGAAAAAAAAGAAAAAAAGGGAGAATTAGGGTTTCCAATTTTAACTCAAATACTGCCAGATTGTCCTTAAGGCACTGTGTGACGGGACCATGAGTTGTCACTCAGTGCCACTTGTCCTTACTGTATATGACGTGTGGCTGGCTGTCAGCAACAAATGGCCACCCCCCACATCCACCTCAAATTCTCACCTCCCCCAAATGCAAATCCTAATTTCCAGTCTCCCTTGGGTTCTTGTAATATAGCTCCAAAGCCTCTACTATCCACATAATTTGGCTATATGGGTAAGTCTGCCATCTGGAGTCATTAGTTGCTCGGATCACTGGCTTTCTGAAAGCTTTCAGTTTGCTGATGAACTTAACAGGGAAAAAGTTGTTTTATTGAATGGAAATGTTTTACAACATGCAAAAAAATGTGTGCTATTTTATTATTATTATTATCATCATTATTATTATTATTGTGTGTATTGTGGCAATTCTTCAATTTCTATCATGTGTGTCACTGTGAGTTTGATAGTTTTATGCATTATATATGATTGGATATTTCTAATAGGAAGACATGAATTTAGAGAAGAGGCATTACATTTTGCATACTGTTTCTCAAACTATCACAGATTAATGTAGAAATGAGATAGAATAAACATCACATGCATGAGAGTTTACTTCACATCTCAAACTAAGTAAAAACTGAAGAAATCAAAGGGTTTGAAAAAAGGATGTACGTATAAATACATTTATGTACACGCACAGAAATTAAACGAGGATGTCATTAAAATTGATACAAAATTCCACCTGATTTGAACAGAAATAGGTTACTTTCCTTCTCAGTCATAGTTGAGAGAAGACGAACAAGTTCATTTCATGGATTTTCCCCAGCAACTTGAGGTCGCCAAATAAAATTTAAATTGAAAAAATTTAAAACAGAAAGAATGTTACGAAGCACATCAACATCTGAAAACGGGGTCCCAAGACTGTTGCATGAATCATCTGCATCTCAGTCTAGCTTTTTCGTGCTGGGAGACCCAAAATTTCGGGCACCGTGATACAAAAATAAACATCGAAGGATGCTGAAAAGGAGGAGGACGAATTTGCCCGGAGGTTTCTTTCCAACTGCCGCGGACCCAAAAAGGCAAGTCAAGTAGTTTAATTTTTTAGTCTATATTTTTGAGCTTGTTTGTATTTTTTTTCCCGGGTTCCCAGAGTTTTAGGGCTCCAGCCCCGCTGTCCCAGCTGGACGTGATCAACTTGTACGAGGCATCGGCTTCTTCTCTATGAATAGGCTTGTGGACCAGCCAGCCCTCTATACTCTACTTTGATAAGCCCGTGGAGGAGTTACTGATAAGCCGACGACGGACTTCTGATAAGCTGTCTGGACGCAGACGATCAGTGCATCTCTTGTGGATAAGTTTTAATCAAGATAAATATATTACATATTTATTATTTAAACACATCTCCGAACGTTTTGAGTTCAATGAATTAGTCCCGCCAGCCATTAAAGATCTAACTAGGGATTGGATAAATTATTGGGTTATTATTATTATTATTATTATTATTTTTCAAGGGGGTCCTAGAAGAATTGTCTTACACGGTGGATCTCACTTGCAGAGTTGGAGTCATACGTAATCCTGGGAACATTCTAATGCATACAGTGGATGAGGGCTCCCTCAAACAAGCCCAAGTCTACAAATAAAACGAATAGAAATATCAACCTCAGACAATATATCATCCAAAACATGACATCATTCCGCAAAGTCATCCATCCATCTATTCATGCATAGGGTGGATGGGAGGATGGGACAGAGCGCGCGGGGTTTGGGGTGTGGGGAATGGCAATCGAATTGAATAGGGAGATGCTCTCTCGGGCCCCCTTCCAAGTTATATCCAGCCTGGGCTGCCCGGGAAACACTCTCTCAGTTAGGCTGCGGGATCGGTAGTAGGTTGGGAAGAAGGAAGGCATCTGGTGGGATCGAGGCTACTACATTGGATGATGCTTCGTTCGCTGTACTTTCGAATGCGGCTACGGTTCGAATCCCCGCGAATGAAGCATCTATTGGAGGCAAGGAAAAGAAGGTGAGAGAAGAGGGAAAGGAGTGCAGAGCCAGAGTAGACACAGACAGACAGCCAGACAGACAGTACTGCTGTAGCCAGCCAGCCATTGAAGCCCAGTTGCCATTTACTGGCTCGCTCGCTCGCTCGCTTTCGCTCTAGCAGTTGACACCTCTTTCGCTTAGTCTTCTCCCCCGTCTCTCCCTCCTCCTCCTGCCTTCTCTGTTTCGGGAGATGGCGGCACTCTCTTCGTCATCACCACGTCAGTAGTAGGTATGCGACAGGCACTTGACGAGAGGGAATCATCATGCCTCCTCTGCAAGTCGAGTTCCTCTCGCTCCCTCATTGCTCTGCTGCCTGCCTGCCTGCCTGCCTGCTCTCTCTCTTTTTTTTTTTTTTTTTTTTTTTTTCCGTTATCCCACTCGCCGAACCCGTGGAGCGGACTGTGTGTTTCATTGTGGTTCGTTGTGTCCATGTTTGTGGCGCGGTGCTGTGGTCCATTTGAGGGGCGGTTAATGGAAGCGCCTTGTAATTATAGCGTGGGCAATTGATTTTTCCTTTTTGGTTACTATTGTTCTTTGTGGCTGTGATTTCGGTTTCGGTTGGAGGCGAAGGGCAGGCTGTTGATGGTGAGGAAGCTGAAGCTTCATTTTAGGTCTGGGAATAAATCCGAGGTGTGATGTTTGGAGTTGTTGGTTGATGAGGTTATGGTTTGGGAGAGTGTCGCGAAACAGACGATCAGAGGCACATGAGATTGGCGAGAGAGAAACGGGAGGCTGTGAGCAGTTGATGCTCGTTCGGAGTGGATTTGAGAGCATGGTTTTTCAGGCATGATGGAAGGGCGCTGGAAGGCGGCATTTTTTAAACGCGTGTTGTTGAAAGCAGAGTGTAAGACACCGAGTTTCAGAAAATAGATAAGTGAATATTTAACACATTTGTTGATTTATAAAATTTGAATGAGCAGGGCGGTCTTGAATGTGATGTGTGGAGCTGTCTGGGATCTTCCTACTTGAAGTACTCCGTGTCACTCTCTATTCGTTTTGGACAATGGTACCCCGTTATGTTTTCCGACCGGTCGTTGCGTTGTAAGAGGAATTATAAGTCTGTAGGTTGCTGTGCGTACGGGAGTTATCTGGCGATTTGTCTGTTGGTATTCTGCGAACATTGAAGAGGTTTTGGAAATCTGCGGTTGGGGACAACGTGGTAGGAGACGTAGCGACCAGGCATGCAAGGTCTGTCATGGATGTGTAGGCATTAGTGGTTATTTTAAGTGAAATGCGTGAACCGCGCAGACATGCGTTACCGAGGCGTTGGTTTTGGGAGTGTCTCGACCTGTAGTGTCGTTGTTAGGTTTGATGCAGTGGTTGTGTTGCTGGATGTGGTAATGGTTATTGGTTGCATGAGTGCTCTGGGGTGAGAAGACGTACGGCCTTTTGTGTTGCATACTCAGATCGTGAAACGGGAGGCTGTGATCGTACCTGCTGATAGGAGTTGTGGAATGCTGGCGAGTACTTGTTTGTGCACATAATGTATTTGGATTCGGTATCCGTCTAGATATGTCTTACGAAGTGTTATAGCCGCAAAGTATTGTTACGATGTCTGTTAACTTAATTTACGACACGGTTGTATGACTAGTATTATTTATTACAATTGGGAGCTGGATACTGACCGGAATGTGTAGTTGTATGCCTTTTCAGGTCATTTGTGTTGTAGGATGGTTAAATTCGCCATGACAAGGGATACTTCACATTAATTTTTTTTGAAGTCCTTGTTAAGTAGGCTTGGAAGTGAACAGTTGGGGTGATCTGTGGAGCTGTAGAAAGAATTGGTGAATGGTGTAGCTTAGTGTGAAAATAAGCGGTTGTGAAATGGTTATTCTGAGTTATTTTCATGATGGCCGTGGGATCAATTATGTTTTCTGAGAAATTGCGTTTCATGTCCCTAGGCTGTGGAGTAGCTGTAACAAGCGAGGGCTAAGACTCTTCTTCAAGTCAGCAATCATGGGACACGTATGGTTGTCACCACTGGTTTTCGCTCACATGCGTTAAGGTTTACGGAGATTGTTCATCTCTTTAGTAGAGAAACTGCGTTGAACCTCGTCCGTAAATATTGACGCTACTGGCCAGTCCATCAACAACCGGCATGAGGAAGAACTCGAGGTCTGATCTTCAAGATTCTATGGGATAGTGGTGTGACATTTAATGGACGTTTAGTGGAAGGGCAACAATATGTATTAATGAGATACTGAGACGGGAAATCCGAACAAAGTCCTCTGGTTGTAGGTATCCGCACTGTAATTCTCTGTGGATTGATAAGAGGGTAGTGGATAGGGCGAGCAGCATCAACATTATAGTTGGCAATGATGGAGCTGGAAGAGAGCTAGCTGTGGTGTTCAAATCTGCAGCATCAATCTGGTTCTTCTGATATTGTCATCAAACGCTGTGATCTTCCCTGGTAGGAGGAAAGTTACATTCTCATTCAAGGTTGGTTTCCTTGGCATTTAGTCTCTTTTAGACCGAGTTGCTCTCCCTATTTCTGATATGCAATTTCTATGCACTTGCAATGGACCATATTCGTCGTGTATTCTCCTGTTTATTGTAATTTCTGCCCCCTGTTTTTGGTGTTAGGTTCTCACAGCCTCTGTTAGTGAATTAATTGGAAGGGCCACGCCTTGAAATGAGTGAACTGATAACCACATGTTAGTAACCCTAATTTGTACACACGTATCGTAGACTTAGTAACAAGATTGAAGGTATGAGGTGGAAAACTAGGTTCCGTTGAGTGATTCTTGACTCACCCAGCAATATCAAATGGGTTTGCAGGTCATTCTTCCTGGCCTATTGTTACTTGTGGCAATGGACGGCACGTCTTCCGGTAAAGGTGACGGACGTCAAGTGAATTGGTCGCATCCCATGAGCAGCTCCTCGCATCTTCCTCCTAAAAGCCCTGGGGGATATTCAATGTTTGGATCTGGGTCCAGTCTTTTTGAGTCGGATCTTCTGGCCACTCTTCCACTTCGGGGCGGTGGCCACCACAAGCGCACTCCTTCGGCTGGTTATCTTCCCAACGTTGCGCCTACGTGGTTGGAGGAAATATTGGAATCTCCAGACGGAGAGGTGGTGGTGCGGAAAGGCTCACATCGGCGGTCATCTAGTGATTCGGTGGCTTTCCTGGATACCCCGCAAGATTTTGCCAACTTTGTAGAGAATGTAACGGAGGAAGAATTTATTTTGCGGGAGCCCCCACCCCCAATTGCACGTCCAAATCATCGCAGGGGCTTGAGTGCAGATTACCAAAGGTGAAACATCCTTATATTGAGATCTTGCAACTTGCTGTAATATCACTATGACGTAGCGCTTATGGGAGTCGTAAGGTAGGTGGTGACCATGTATGGTCAAACGCAGATTTGTCCACTAGAATCGTGTTAAACGATTGATGTTGGTTCAATGTTTTGCTTATATCGAGGTTGTCTTGGAACCTGATCTGGTTAGTGGGAATCCAGCCCTCAATTTCTACAGGTTCTGCATGCAGTGTAACAGTGCGTTTTGTACGTCACTAACGGGCTGGTGCTCACGTTTGTGCTGACGAATGCAGTTCCCAGTATGATGTCCCTCCACCACAGCGACCCTCTCACAGGAGGGGTATGAGTGCAGACTACAACAACAATAGGTGAGCAGTTTGGTTTCGGACAGTCATTGTTTGTATGTGGACGTCAATTTTTTCGTGCGCTTAGTGGGTGTTGGTCCATGTTCATTGCCTCGCCTGGATTCATAGCAGTGATGCGAATCTGGTGCAGGTTAGACAAAGAACAGTTGATGAGTGTGCTTTCTGAGCTGGAACCATTCCAGACGCAGCTTCCAAGGCACAGGTCCGATAAGCCTATACCTCGAGTTGGTGGTCCACTCCCTGTAACTAGACCAGCCTCTTCTGGAGATAGCTGGAGTATAGAGAAATGGAAGAAACATGTGACGTTGTCTGTTCCCAGCTCGACTTCCGACAGCCCGAGCTATGAGAGAGGGAAGAACCTGAAGTCGAGTGTGACGACCTCTGAGAATCGGTCGACTGGGTCCGATAGCAATAGCCACAGCGATGAGTCGAATGATGAACTGCAATCTGGGAGCGTTAGAAGGGGGAAGATTGAGCAAGATGCACAGAGCAAGAAGGAAGTTGATGGGTCACGGCAAGCACACGGCGATGGTACGGAAGTAGACCCAAGTCTAGATCCGAAGAAAGCAAAAAGGTGAGGATTTGTAAGTGCCGGGCGAATATTTCTTGCTTGTGTGATTTTCTCTGGTTATAGAAAAGGATGCTCTTGTACATTTTTTAGGGCATGTGTTTTGGATTGTAACGTGCCCAAGTACAGTGATTTTTAGGTCAGTTTGGCATATGGGGGATAGAGTGGCGAATGACTGCCGTTGTTTGTTTAGGGTTCACAGTTGGTGAGGGCATATTGCTGGAATTGGCATATTGTTCCTGCAGTCTACCGCGTGCAGTTAGGACCGGACAGTGTGAGTAATGTGGATGAGTTGGTTGTGCAGAATTCTTGCCAATAGGCAGTCAGCTCAAAGATCCCGCGTACGGAAGCTGCAATACATATCAGAGTTGGAAAGAAGCGTGAATGCGTTGCAGGTATGGATTGATGTCATTTTCCTGTAGCATTTTTCTGTTGTTGAGATGCGTGTGGTTGAGAGAGAAGGCTACTTATCTGTTTCGAAAATTCTGGGAGAGTGTGTGGTTGGTTTCTGGTGAACGTATTGGAGATCGTGTGTCTTAACAGAAGTGATATTTGCAGGTGGAGGTTTCAACGATGACACCTCAGGTGGGGTTCTACGACCATCGGAGAGCATTTCTTACCGCAGAGAATGTTCTATTGAAGCAGAAGTTAGCAGCGTTGAGTCAAAGCCAGCGGTACAAGGAGGGTGAGTATTGAAGTTTAGCGTTTGGTTGGTCCGTATACTTTTTCTATGACATCGTTGGAATAATTTGATTAGTATTAGGGATGGATATCATTGGGCCTCTACGGGAATACGCGTATGATGGTTATTAAACACCTGCAAAGAGGAGGTACCATCGAATGTCAGCAGAAGATGCAAGCGTTGTCTCCTAGTGGTTGACATGGTGGCATTGTGATTGTGTGTAGCTCAAAACGAGTCTCTGAAAAAAGAGGTACAGAGACTTCTTCAGATTTTCAATCAGCAGAATCAGTCTCAGCAGCAGATTCAGGTGGTACAGCATCGGCCTCTATCTCCGAATGCCTACGACATTCCGCAGCAGTTTAGCAAGTTGGACTTGGGTCCAAGCATCCCGAAACCGAAGTCGCCGGATCTATATTCATCGGGAGGAGGTGGCAAGACCTCAACGGAACTGGCTTCATCCCTGTTTGCAGGAGGTGTGGCGTCTTCGCTGATACGAAGTGGTAGCAACGTGATCAGGCCTCCGTCGCAATCTGCGAAAGGTGTCGTGTCCTCAAGCTGCATGGTTTCTAGCAGTGGGAAGAGTTTAGAGGGGAGGATGATGGGAGGGTCCGGAACTCTTTCATCGGATTTCATGGTTCATAACTCTTGATCAGCCCGGATGGATGGAGGATGAGTAATACCACATTTTGATATGCGAACAGCATTCGACTTGTCTTAATAGGTCGTGGCTAAGTAACGAGCCTCAACGGATACCCCACGTCTCGTGGGTGCACAGGACGTGCACATGGCAGTCATTGGGTGATTCGAAAACCTGGACATGGAGGAATACGTCCCATTTGCAGACACATTAGATTCGGTACACATTAGATGTGCAAGGGTTGCCGCCAAGAGTTCCAATGTGCTGGATAGGGCATGCTGAGGTGCCAAGTCTCATGGCTATGGGCCGTGAGACTTATTTAGAAGCTGTTGAAGGAGTTGTTTTGTCGTTCTTTCAGCTTCCGCTTCCACCCCTGCCCTCATGGCTTGGTATGGCAGGGATCTGAGTCCTAGAAGACGTGTTGGAATATGCCCTGACATACCGAGTCTCGCTTACTTGGGGATGTGCAACCTAGACCTTTTGTGATTCATAAGTATCATTCATTTTCGTGCCTGCAGAAGTGGTGATGTACGTATTTGCCTTGCGGATTTGGGTTCCGGTTCGACAAATGGGATTTTTCTACTTTCCCTCAACCTTGTGCTTTATCATTTTCTGTTCGATTGTCGTAGTAAGCTTTGATTTAGAGAACTAAGTCGGCAGATATATATATATATATATATATATATATATATATATAATTGTTTGAACCGCTTTTTTTTCACTCGGACTGAATGCGATTGACCACACTGAACATAAAGCACCATTAGTGTACTTGGTAGACAGGTCTTATTTCACTGGAGGTGAGGTTTCGTTGTCTCAGAGCGCATCTGCAATATATGCTTCCCCGTATCTTGAGCGCTTGGAGGTTGTGGCGTGGTGTAGAATGGCGTGTTGGTAGCCTCAGCTCATTAAATGTAATGAATTGGAGTGTTTTAGAGAAGAGACAGCACTATGAATTTAGTTGATGTAGAAATACTGATCTACTGATATTGCCATGATCCTCCTCTATTGTATATATTACATGTATACTGACAATTTTCATTATGGACCTGCCAAACTGGGAAGCATTCTGCAGAGTAACGATAGTTTTTGAAACATTTCACTGAGCAAACCTCTGTTGATGTTTGCTGCTACTAGCTTACATCTTGCTTGGGTGGAGCCTGCCCCTGTGCAGTTTCGGGCTCGCCCTTGGCAGTTATAGACTCCCCATTATTTTTGCCCCTAGTAATTTCAAGAACTAGTGGAGGATATAATAGGGGACAGTAAAGGAAGAAGATAGGTAGGAGAAAGTTAGGAGAATGTAGTAGTTAATGGGAGTGCACCAATGTGTAATCCATCAGAGAATATATCTTGCAATGGGAACAGGAGGAAGATGTGCTAAATTGTAAAAGAATTTGATGTGTTTGTATGGTGGTGCACATGGGACCACCTCCTACTTTTAAAAAAATGGGTTTTCAACAGAATTTGTTGTTTTGTTCTTTGCTCATATTGCACACCTCATGTTGTAGCTATGTTGCAATCTGGTTATAATGTTGTGGTGATGGTGGCAAATAATAGAAGAAAAATATTAAATTTGCACAGAATTGGGCTTTATGAATTTGTGCATTATAAGTCGAGAATTAAAACAATGTGCAACTTTTGTGGTTAGTTGACTTTGATACAACTATCATTTGTGTTTCCTAATGTATTATGGTGGATGCACTGTACTTGACAAAACTTTATTATGTGAAGGAGTGTCATGCCAATCAACATACATAGCTGTTGGTGGTTGTATTCTTCAATTTTTGTTCACAAGTGCTATTCCAAAGTTGCAACCAAGTTGCTAGTTTTGGTGCATTTATTTACACCTAGGCTACAATGATCAAGTTGGAAATGACAATGTAAAAATTTGTATTGGGGTACTTTGAGAAGATGTAAGAGCAAACATGAAAAGCAGCTGAGAACTGTATCATATTTTTGGCTGTGCTTTCAATCTAATGCAATGCTCAAGGAATTGAACTATGCTGGGTTTTGTGTCTATGGTTGCAAGTTGATTGCATTCATTGATTTGAGAATCACAATGCAAGAATTTTATTTTATTTTATTTAAAAGATTATTTTTTTTTCATATTTTTTTTATAATAATATTTTAATAATGTATGAAAATATTATAATTAATTTTTATTTATAAATATGTCTCATATGCAAGAATAAACATTTGTGTTGTGGTATTGCAAAATCAATTTGTTAATACATTTGATATAAAGTCATTTTATATAAATAATTTTAATGTTCTTTTAAGACAACATCAATATTGTGGAATCCTCTTTAGATGTAAGTTATGATTCAATGTACAACAAAAACTTACAAACTATATATACCTATTTAAATTATATGCAAGGGATGTTGTATAAAGAACGAGTTTACTAAAACTTTTATTTTTTATGTTCTGAATACTGATTTTAGAAATGTTTGTATATGTAAATGTGAATCTTTTGATATAATTATGGAGGATATAAAAAACCAATCTATTTTTACAATCAATTATAGAAATATTGAGTAAATCTAAGTTGAATTCTAATTGGCTATAATATTCTTAAGATTTAAGTGCCATAGTAATAAAGCTTCACATAGTCTATTGTAATATTTTTTGATATTGAAGGAAGACTAACAATATTGTTTATAGATTGGATTATGATATTTATTTCATAATTAAAAACTAGTAAAATAGCCAACACTAACAAAGCAATTTGCTATTACAAGAGATATTAAAAGCAAAAAAAATATTGTGAATGCATGGTAGTTTATCAAGATTAATATATATTAGTAAGGTGTTTATAAATACTAAAATATGAACTATTTTTTTAAGATATTTCATTTATAAAAAATATTTTTTTCTAAAAAGGATTTTTTATATTTTCACTAATTATAATGGATAATACATTTCTAATCTTTAAGAGTAAAAAACTCTAAAATTAATATTGCTCATATGTCAATAAAAGATAAGTTTGAATATTATATTTATATGCTAATAGAATATTTTTAAACTTAATAAGTTTCATATACTTAATTTTAAAATAAGAAGAATTAAATACATATTATATATTATTGTACTTTAGAAAGTATATTATTTTGTAGTTCGTATAGTAAATCATAGAATAATATAAAGAATATATCTAATATTATATTTAATAAACAAACAAAGATAATATACAAAAAAGATTATTTTAAAAAGAAGTTTTTTGTAATAAAATAAAATAAAAATTTGATATTAGAATATTGTAATAGTATATACATATTTAAAAATAGACAAATTATATATTTATAGTAATTTTATTGTGATAAAATATTATAAAAAATAAGTACTAAATATATATATATATATATATATATATTTTTATATACTATATTAGACATATAGAATTTTAAACTTTATACTATATAAGTATATTTTTGCTAATATATGTTGTATAAATATATATATATATATATATATATATATATATATATCTAATATATTTTATTATATAACTATTTTATATATAAATAAAATAATATATATACATATGAATTATTTTTTAAAATAATAACAATATTATGTTAAAATTATAAGGAAAAAATTCACCCCTCAACGAAAATTTTGAGATACCTTCAATAAAGAGTTGTTTATTATTGGTGGTCTAAAATAGAAGAAAAAAATGACAAGGAACAAAGTAGATCAAGACAAAACAAGTGAAAGGATTTTAATCAAGCAATTATATACTACAAAATTAGTCAAAGTTTCTTCACTAGATTTTCATCTAAGATTTTTTTTTTTTTTTTTTTTTTTTTTTTTTTTTTTTTAAATAGATAATTTTTAATCTTTCTAATAAAGTAGGAAAAATTAAAATTCAAGTTAATATGAATAAATCATGATTAATTAAATATAAAAATATAAAAATATATAAATATAAAAATTAAGTAAATTTTTTTTACTTGAGAGATAACTTGCTTAAGAGATTAAAGATTTGAAGCTCACCAAGGCTAACAAATAGTGTATAAAAGTGTATTCAAGAAGCCATATGAAATATATGCATCTCATTTTCTACAAATACTACACTATATGTTGGTCCTCTTATTTTCTACTAATAAAATTATATATTTTACACTTTTTACTTCATGATGGTTTCTAAGAACATCAAAATAGCCTAAAAACCTTGATGGACCTTCAAATCTTGCTCAATTTCTGCATAATCGCCTCCCAAAGTGGTCAAATCATTTTAGCCAAAGTCTTAGAAAATTACTCTAAACATTCTTTAAAAATTCTAAAAAAATTCAAAAAATCTCTATAATATTTTTATAATAATAACATCAAGTTATGGCTACTTTTTCATATTCTAGTAATTTTTTACAGTAGTAAAATAAATTCAAATAAATTAAAAATCCTATCTACTACATAAATAAGTGAAAAGACAAAGTTTTTCCAAATGCTTTTTTTATCCACGAATTAAAATTTATAATTTTTTCATAAGTAAAAAATATGATAGAAGGCCAATATAGACATTAATCCTAATAATTAAATTTAAATTCTTATAGTTAAGAAAACAAATACTATATTAGCTAAGATAGTTACCTCTAGGATATATGACTTTTCTTCTAATGAGACTCTTATAACTTATAAATCTTTTTTACTTCTAATAAATAATCAAATAATCAAATCGAATTTTTAATCTTAATATGTATATAATCCAATAACATAAAAACATCTTTTTAATAATTCCACCAATTAAGGCCAATTAATAAAATTTACAAAAGCTTAATTACAAATTATTATTTTCCTTCATACAAATTTATTTTGTATAAAAATAACAAGATATTATTTTGGAGTTTATAAACAAATCCAATTTCTTATACAATCAATTGATTTTATATTTTAATATAATAGAAGATATAATAAGATTTAAATATAAATTTATATAATTTGATACATTATGTAGTAAGAATTGTTATTTAAAAAATATTATATTTATTTTATGTATATATATATATTAACAAAAACTTATCCTATTGGATATATGATATGTCTTAATAAAATGTATTTATTTCATACTAATTAATTTTTATTTGAATTATAGTATAAATTTTTATTATTAAGAATATTAATAATGTTAATGTGTGTATATAGATATATATTTTAAAAAGTAATTTTATAATTACTTATTCAAAAATACATCTATAATTTAACTATTTATATAATATTTAAATACTAATACATAAATAATTGTTAAAGACAAGAACATGATAAAAACAAATAAACAAGTGAGACTTCTCTCAAAGAAAGATGAAAAAATAAAAATAACTTGATATGTATATTAAGAAAGAAATTAGAATGGCTATTGCCAAAAGTCAAGAAAATTAGAGACCTTTGAAACTAGACTGGAAGCAAGAAAGGAGTTGACAAGAGTGAAGAAGGCTTCACTCTTGTCTCTATATATACTATCTAATTAGGGGCTACGTGGCGATGTTCTATAAGACCTCTAATATGTATTGACTTTGTAGGACACATGCCTTGACTTATAAGGCAAGTTTTTCTATGTGTGGGCCACATAGTTAGCTTGGTCTTCAAGTTAACAACA